GCAAATGATTACCTAATTTCTATAGAAACATCTATATTTTTATAATAAAGCTTGCTTATAAATAAATAGTAATTACTCAATTAAAATAGTATAAATATTTATTTTAGATTATTTTTATATTTATTTTGATCACACTATTAATTGTATACTTCAAATAGCAATAGTCTTTATAGAACCAAATATATATATATATTTTGCTGCATGTTATATTACTTCTTTTGAATACATAATTATTTGTAGTCGTCTGTATATTTCTTAAAGAGTTTTGCGACACTTCTGCAACAACTAAGAAACCTATTTCTTATTTCCAAACATATTTTATTGCATTAAAGAAAATATTTAATTTCCTACAGCTATAAAATAATACGTACTAACACATCTTTCTTTCATTGTACTTAATATTTTCCTCACATTCAGAAATATTTCTTTGCAAGCACAATCTTCTTTCCGTTGCGAAACATATTTTTCTTTCATAACATACAAATTCTATCATCACAACATATAATGATGTAAACATGTTCTTCAGTCACTGAGAGAAATATTTTATTGAAACGATTTCATCAATTACATACAAGTAAATATACTGTTAGGACCCTTCCAGTAGAAAAGGTCCTGCAATTAAGTAATTTTTGTTTCAAAACACTTTTTCTCTGTATGTACGGGGACCTTATTTTTCTCGCTTCTCCCAATTACTCGCGGAACCGATAGATACGTATAACGTTTCGACATTCTGTTTTGCAGATGTAGCATTTAAAAGATTGCACGTAAGTTCATACTTTCAACGAACCATGTTTATTTGTAAATAATTGTTTTTTACTTCATACATCCGGCAACTTGATATACTGTACTGAGGGAAACAATAGTTACAAAAAAATATTACTGGATTGAATAACATTATTTACTCCACGGGTCGTAATAGCGTATTTACTTGTATTCCACTGATAACATAGTAGAAATAAAATATTTATTTCAGTGAATGATGAAGGTTTTTGCTTCTTATGAAAGACATATTTACTTAACTAAAGGATATATGCTTTTCATAGAGGAAACTAAATTTTGCTTACACACAAAAATTTCTTAAGATGGAGGAAACATGAAGTAAAAATAATATAAAATATGTGTTGCTACATATTATTTTATGACTGTACGAAATACAAAGTTGACTGTAATACAAAAAAAGATCTTTTGAAATAAGAAATAGCTGTCTTTCTTACAACATACACGCTGGCAAAACGTTAAGAAATATGAGGACTACTAATAATTTATGTTTTGAAAATAAAGGATATATTAATAAGACAGAAATATTTTTAATTACTTCAAT